GGGCCAGGCTGGGCCCATGCCTTCAAAACCAGGGTGATCCAGGAGGAGAGACCACTTGTCCAGCTCCTCCATTTCTTGCCTGACGTTGATTGCCTTGTTTCTGGCATTGCTTGGAAATTTTTCCCTCCAAATCCTCTTAGCTCTTTGAAAATGCTTTTTTAAAAAAGGCAAGAAATTCCATTCTAGAGAAAATTGCCATGTCTCACCTGCTCTGAAGAAATGAAAGATACTAGGAAATGTGAATTTTTCCAGGGCTGGAAATGTATTCGGACTCCAAGCTCTGCTGAAATAATTTCATCTAGATGTGATCCTCTTTTAGCACCTCTTTAGGTTCCTCACTATCCATATGATTCTCCTAAGAGCACTACAGCTCTGATCTTCAGTCAGCTATCTAACTAGGGATCATAGCAATCAAGAATCAAAAGGAGATATTTTTGTTTAAAAAAAAGAACATGTGGGTTTAGTTTCAGAGGTGCTGTTCAAATACTGAATAGGTAGAAGTGACAGATAAAAACAGTTTTATATCCATTTGTCTTAAAGAAAATAGTTCAAGCTGAATCATTCCTCGACTACTATTTGAGCTCATACAAGTTTGCTCATTGCCATAAATCACAGTAAAGCATTGCATGAGACACTGCACCTTTAAAAATTATTAATTGCATTCCTATTCCATTCTGTTCCTTACGCTTTTGTCTCCTATCATTGAAATGTTTTTAATTCTCCTGAAAGCTGTTTTTTATTTATTCCAAAATATACACAGTATTTATTATACTTATTTTCCACCATGTTATTGTGAGAATATATATGTGTCTATACTAAATGTTCACTGTTATGTCTAATAGCCTACTTGGAATATTAGATTTATCCCCCCTTAAGGACAAAACTTGGAGCACAAGTTATTTACACTAGTTTGAGAATTCAATATACTCATATGAATAGTTCTTATAAGTGAAAATAAATCATGTCAAGTTAGTTAAATAGAAATACCCTTCTGATAAAAAAGGGGCAGTAAATAAAAATGAAGGCTTGTTTTTTCCCTATTATTCTTAGTTTGGAAAATGTATCTGGCCAAATTAAGCATTTCTAAAGCACCTAGCAGCATGTAACTGTGGGGTTTATAGAGTAAAGCAAAATCTCTCCAAAAAGGATAATCAAACCCATATTTTCCTCTTTGGGTTAATTATTAGTTTTCTGAATACTTCCAGCCCTCTTTCTATTCTTGTGGGAATACTTTAGGGGATCCTCTTTATTTACAGCCAATGGATTTATATTCTATAAGTGACTGCAATATATTGAGAGTACCAGCACTGCTGGTTGGGAAATCCAGAGGACATCTGGAATAATTTGATGTTTTCATGTAAGTTTTTTTTTATGTTAACATTTTCCCATTAGCGAAGGGCTGTGAGAACTGGATACACCTTTCTATCAGGAATAAGGTTGAGTCTGGACGAAGGCAGATTTTGAGTCCTGATTCAAGTCTATCAGTGGTTCATCCTGACAGATTGTGTATTATTGAAATGCTAAGAAGCATTTTAGCTATCTTCAGTTTTCCTGTTCGTAATATTTTTTTTTTTATATTTTCCCACTGCTCCTGAAAATGCAGGCTGGTTACAATCTAACCAAAACCCCTTATGAATCCTCACTAATGGACACGAGCAGGGCTGTGAGCACCACAAAAATAAACTCCTTAGACCGAGTTCGAACTCACTTCAGGAATTGTTCTTTTTTTATATATATATATTCAGGCACAGAAATGGATTAAGTTACATACACAGATAAGTATTTTCCATATGGAAGATAACATTGTCCTCTCCTGCATATGACAGAATATTTACCAGACTAAGAATGTGGCTGTTTTGGGACTATCTGTTTCTTTTCAGAAATGTTTGTTTTAGTTAATTTTGAAAGGGAGAGGAGCAGAGGGGGAAGGGAGAATGTCCTATGATTAATGTAAGTCTGACCATGAACAAGATAATAATAGCCCCATCCTCTGGGAACTATGCCTTTCCCTAATTGCTTTATTGGCAATTAGTCACCGTGTGTCACCAGACTGTCACCACCCTCATGAAGCCATTTTTCATACATTTTACAGAAAGTTACTGCAGGCTATATAGGGTGTAACAACAGCTTCTGCTCAATACGAGGCTTTTATTAGCCCTTCAAGGACTAGGTTTTGGTGTTCTGGTGGACACATGCATCTGGACACATGCCTGGGTTGAACATGTCCTCAGCTCCAAGGACACTGTGTCCTACTAAGTACTCTTTCTGGACTAGGCCCACAACTTGCAGGGTTGAGACCCTAGTGATGGAAATTATGCCTGGAATTACAGAGACTGATTGGATAGTGGGGAAAGAAACCCACATTTAAAAGAGCTGTTTTGGGTGTCTTTAACCTGAGCAAAACAGGATCACAGTTTCACAGAAGGGCTGAAGTTGGAAAGAACCTTTGGAGATCACCTAGTCTAACCACCCTGCTCCAGCAGGGACACCTAGATCATGTGTCACAGGGTCACGTCCAGGCGGGTGTGGAAGATCTCCAGAAAAGGAGACTCCACAACCTCTCTGGGCAGCCTGTTCCAGTGCTCTGTCACCCTCACAGTCACGATTTTCCTCATATCCAGTGGGACCTTCCTGTGTGTTTCAGTTTGTGCCCATTGCCTGCTCTCCTGTTGCTGGGCTCATCCTGTGCTGGGCACATCCCCTGGCCCCATCCTCTTGGCACTCTCCCTTAAGGATATACACTGATGAGATAAATAAGTCTGGTCTGATGAAGCTGCTTAATTTTTACATAAAAATATGATTGTTCACTGTTCAGAGGAGACATTGACCTGGGTGCTGACTTGAGAGATGTGTGACCTCTGATACACACTGCTTGAGCATCTTGGCATCTCACCTAGTAACTACCTGCACCCCCATGGGCTGGGATGGGGAGGGAGGCACTCCACTGGTCATGGGCTGGAGTCTACCATGGCCATCATCAGAACTGTGTGTGTCCTTTCCTTTCACCTGTAAGCTGGGATACTGACGGGGATAACTGTAGTTAACTGTAAGGATAGTTTAATCAGGCAGGCTACTGGCATTTTGCTCTCTAGGAGGGTGAGGATAGAAGTTTGAAGATGAGCATGGTGAAATCATAATTTGCCTATATTCCCTTATTTTGATAATAGCGGAGTTTCCGTGGGAAGAGCATTGCTCTAATTCTGTTCCCTCCCCAGCCCCACCCTTCTCAGCTCTGTCAGAAACTGATGAAATAACCAGCCCTAATTTCAGAAATCACATGCTGCGCTCTAAATAAGTATCTGATTCAGAGTAAGATCATGGCAAAAGAGACCTCATCCTGAAAGCTGTAAGCTTAAATGGAAAGTCTCTTTCCATTTAAGCAGCACCAGCCTGTTGAATATTTGCACTAGGTTGGATTTTCTGTATTGCATCTCTTTGGGATAATCTAGTCTAAAAATAGACGAGGGTACCCCATGGGTTAACAAAATTGAATCAGATGTGGGTCTGAATGCAAGGCAGCGAGAAAAGAGAAGTACTTTTCTGATAGATTTTTGCTTGTTTTCTGACACGCTTTCTGACACATCTGGTTCAGCAGAGTCTGTTGTGTGGCATTGAGAGAGACAATGCAGTAACCAAAAGAGCAATATTGGTTTAAATGACTATTTTCTGACAATTTTGTGTCAGATTTGCAGAATTATATTGTAATTACAGTGCACTTACCTGATTCTTTGCAAAATCCTCCCAGGACCTTCACCTTCACCAGACAACTCTAACCTCATTACTTGTGAATGATATTAATATTAATAATAATAATAATTTTAAAAAAGAACTCTAGAATTCATTAGTATCAATGAGTTCAACCTCCCCAGTCTGGTTACTAAGGTCTGGATTTCTGTTTCTACATCCTTGAAATAATTTTCTGAACACCTTTGACTTCAGCAGAAGAGGTTCTGGTTGGGTAACTTCTGTACCTAATTAACACGTTGGAGTATTTTGAGTTACTTGGCTGGTACAACACAGAGAGTAGTTGCACCATGAGTCCCCAGAAAGAAACTACGGGAGAAGCTATCCAGCAATTGCTTTATGGGAAACCTTTCGTGTCATATTCTGAGTTTTGTTCTCTCCTGTTTCTACCCAGGCACGCTGAACGTAACAATAATCACATGAAGTGTGAGGGAGTCCACTTTTCAACATGCCCTTCCACCCCTCCCGTATGAATCACATCACACATCTCTGTTTAGTCTATTAAGCGAGATACTGTTAAAGTTATCTTCAGAACTACTTTATTTAATCAGTTTCAGTTAGTAAAAAAGATTTAGCCAAGAGCTATTTCCCTCATGTGGGCTTGCAGCTCATGAACAAAACAGCTCCCTGAGGAGCAAGAACTGAGTTCATTGAGGAACGTGCTAATTAAAGCTGGATGAGTTTCCCTCATTAGGTGTAATTGCTTTAGGTTTTGCAGACTGTCTTCTATGGAGTGTCCTTCCTGGCTGATGTATTAAGACTAACTAAGAAACTGCGAAGTGCCAAGTGTGTAATTTCCACCAGAGACCTTCTTTTCAGTGTCCTGGCTTTCCCAGTGTCCACAGTAAGTAACCGCTGCAGGTAAAAATAATCATTTTCCTTATATTCATATATGTATATAGCATAGCATGTGTGTATATAAAACAGATAAGAACTAACAAGTAGGCTCTCCTTTACCATGTTAAAATGGTTTGGGGCCATTTAAAAGAAGAAATGGTGCTCAGATCCACCTACAAGCCTCATTGACGGTTGAATGCGGAGCCTGTTGTACAAACTTCAGGCTTGCTGTCCCTGAGTGAACACAGCTTGACCCCAAGGGGTGAAGTGTAATCTCATGTTCCAAACAGCTTTGTCGTTATCTGCTTACGGCATTTCTTCGAAGAGCAGCATGGGCCAGCAGGATGGGAGACGGTACCTAGGAAGCAGCAAAATCTTGCATTTCCTTCTCTGACTCCTGTGTGGCTTTAAGTAAGCACGGGAAAGAAACAGAGTCATGGGACGTTCGTTACAGCAAATTCACCAGGGGTCACCCACTCCCACCCAGACAACACTTCTTATCAAACTATTCCAGTGTTAGGAGTTGAATGGGAACCAGCGGGTTACCTAGACGCGTTGGTACTGCTGTGTGCAAGCAAAACCTGCCTTCTCAGAAGGCTGAGAAACACTGCTTGAATCTGGCCCACAAGCAGCTCAGTCGGCTGGCGCAGTGAAGCAGTCCGGCCAGCGATGGGAGGCTTCCTGCATCTCAAAACCCCACTTTCTAACCCCAGGCGCAAGACGTGCTCGAGTAGCAAATGAGGCCAAGGCAAGTGCAAAAAAGCCCCCGGCTATCAGTGGCTGACACCAGGATTCGTTTTCTCCAGCTATTTTTTTCCATTGCAAATACTGTGTTGGAAGAAATGGGTGCCCACGCTGCAGCTTGCTTCTGCACCTGCCATTGAGGCATTAGGCTTATGAATTTTAAAGGCAGGGTAAGTTTAGGAGAACTGCCTTTCCAAGATGTTTTTTTACTTTATTACTGAGCCGTGCTTTGACAACCAATCTCTGGACGAGAACTTCTGGACCATCGAAAGATCCCATCTGTAAAAAATTAAAATAAAATAAAATAAAATAAAACAAAATAAAATAAAATAAAATAAAATAAAATATAAAATAAAGGCTAATCAAGTATTCCAAAGCAATTGCCATGGTTGGCAGTTTCTAAAGGAAGGGTCTCTCGCAGTATCAGCACAGAACGCTTCACTTCATTGCAAATTCCTTTCGTTATGCTGTGTGATATATCTAATTATCTGGCAATCTCACTATTTTTCATGTAGGTGATATTTTGCTTTTTCAGACATGAAAGCACTATTCAAATCCCATCAACTGCGTTTTTCTTTTATTTCTTTTGTTTCCAGTTTGTGTTTCTATCCTTTTGGGGACTGTACACCTACGACCGAGAGCTGGTTTACCCCGAAAGGGTTGATGGATTAATTCCCCATTGGTTAAATCATGCTATGGTGAGTAAGAAACATCACTGATGCTTGCATAGAACAGAGGCTTTGCAATGCACCTCCCATCATTGCCTTATGGAGCTTTCCAGAAGAGTTTCACAGCTCCTGCTTTCTCACCTCCTCCTTTCTGCTGCTCTGAAATTGATCTTGAGCCATACACAACAAACAGATGCACGTGCTTGAAGTTGCCTAAAGAAGCATTTTAGCACACAAGGATTGTCGGTGAATTATTTACTTGTCAAACCTTTTAAGTCAATGAGATGATGTGAAGTCATACTCGGTATTGTAACTCAAAAAATAAGTTGTTTCTGCAAACATAAGTCTATGAAATACAAAATGCCTGGGAGTACTGCAAAGCATTTCTTATTTTTTAGGAAAGGGGAAAGAAGCAAAAAACATATGACAGCTCACCAGCTAATAGGCTAATGTGTGCACAGCTCTGAATAGCTGAATTGAAATGATTGTTTACAGATTTCTATAAATACTTTCCAGATTTCTCCTTCATTTGCTCTGCCTTTTTTATGATGTGTTGAATAATCACATATTTCTCATCAGTCAAGTGTAAGGAGGCTGACATTAACATGGAAACTGTGGGTGGATTGTAAGGTCATGGTGGCCTCATGGGGCGAATGGGAAGGGGGAGAGAAGGGAGAGGTCCAGCGCTAGGCTTAATCAGAGGAGCCAAAAAGTATGAAATAATCACACACAAGTCTCAGCCTCAGTCCTCTCCAGTTTCTTAACCGGACTTCAGGGTCTTAAGCACAACATATTGTAAGCCCTTGCAAGAGTGGCCATGCATTTTGAAGAAAAATGCAAGCGGCTTCAGGATTTCAAGCTGAAAATACTTGTTAAATGTTTTGAAGGACCCCTTGATTTCCATATGCATGTATCTGGAATCCAAACACACATAGGCATCACCACATGACTGATATTCAAGTGACAAACTGCAATCATTTTGCTTTTTTAAGCCGATCAGTTGCACTCTGTCCCCAAATCCATCTCCACCAGGGCTCCAAAGCAGCACTCCATACTCAAACAGGCATCGCTCCTTCTCAAAAGCACTGTCAGTCCAAAATATGATCCTTTTTGTTCTCAATAACGCACTGATTTCAGGCCCAAGAGTCACTATCAGTGATCAGCTGAAATTCAAACTCTTCACTCCTTCTCAAAAGCACTGTCAGCCCAAAACATGATCCCGTTTTTTTCTCAATAACACACTGATTTCAGGCCCGAGAGTCACTACCAGTGATCAGCTGAAATTCAAACTCTTCACAGTAATGGGGGCACAGGGGAATGGAAAGGGCCCGGGCTGGGGGTGAGAGGAGGTTTTGCTTTCTGTTTGGATCTCAGAGCAAAGCTGGGAATTTCCCTTTCCATTTCCACATTTATTTGTGCCTTGGGTAGGCTAAGAGGTGCTAAAACTTAGATTTTTATTTTATGTGGAAGAACTATTTGCAGGAATTCCTAAAATGTATTCATTATAACTTCTTTCTTACCTTACACACATCTCCATTTCATAACAGAGTCATTTTGACAACACCAAAAGCTTTTCCATCTCAGAAATGTCAAAAACAGGTGTTAAAAAAGAAAAACAATCCTTCCTCAAAATTATTTTGACGAGAGAAACTTCACACAAAGCAAAGCTCTATCAAAACCTAGTATTTTATTTCTAAAGCTCTTAATACACTGCAGGCATCTTGCATTTGACAGTTCCTGGGTGGGAAGTTTTTCTTGCAGTAACTACTGAGTATGAGACATCTGCCAGGAGCGCAGACTGATGCCTGCTATTGACAATCCCCTTCTTTTGGGATGCATTCCAGTTGTGGAGCGTCTTAGATGTCAAGGATACAGTATTTCCCCGACGTCAACGCTGTGCTACGTTGCACAGCTCTGAAACAGGGGCCGCTGTGCAGCCAAAGCAACGTCCCTCCAGCCCAAAGAGGACCTGCTCAGTTCAGTCCCATGAAAGCATCGTGTAGGATTTCCGCATCTTCTTCACTGGGAAAGAAGCGAGGTGGGCAGCAAAGCTTTCCATCTGCTTATGGCTGAAGGCAAAATTCCTACAAATGCCATGACAGACATTTGAAAAGAAAAACTTGAATGTGCTTTAGAAAGAAGCTGTCTTTTAGCATTGCAGAAAGCTTTATTTCTAGAAAAATAGTGTTTTCGAGTCTTCGAGCTTAGCTGAGGTGAAACAAATTGCCCACTGGAAATGCCATGGAGATCCAGGCTACCAATGCTTGAAGGGACCAATCTTCACATACTGATTGCCAAGCAGACACTTTTTCTTTGGTCTTTGTTTTCTTGCACATTGCTGTACTTCATGGCTTTGAGATTGCAGCCATTTCACAGCAAATTGGGCACAGCATCCAGCTGGCTTTGATGGAAAAAGGCACCAGTGCCTCAACAGCAGACATCAGTGCCACATCGCTTCCAGTGGGAGTGTTTGGCGGTTTCTTTTTTTTAACACGGTCTATTTTAACATTGTAAATAGAGAAAGCATATGTTGTTATGTAACTAAAAAGTGAATCTAAAAAATAACCACACAAAAACAGTTCGGGAATACCAGTCTTCAGTTCCCTGTCAAGTTCTATCATCTTCCTTGTAACAAGCAACCAGCTATTCAGTTTTCTCCGTCTGCTCCACTTACACTACGACAGTGTCCTTGTGCACCTGGGACCCAGAGGTGTACCAATAACGTTGCATTTTAGTCAGGTTTTGACAGTCTCAGCAGGAGCATTTTCTGTTTTGCAGAAAGGTTGGCTAGTGCAGAAAGAAATCCTGCTAAAACGTAAAGATGCTGTATATTCCAGAATATCTGGGCTTCTCTCTTGGCCTTTTCTGTAGTGTTTAATCCAAAGCTGTGCCTCAGTTTCCTTTTCTGTCTGTCTTGGATAGTGCCTCAGTTTCCTTTTCTGTTTATCTTGAATAGGATGTTTGCCATCTTTATACAAACCTTTGAGACTCAAGCATGAAAAAAGATACTTATGTCTCGAATACAATTATTTTACTTGAGTAAGATTTTTAAGTGGAAGATGGCCGAGATTAAAAGCTGCACTGGCCCGGTCACCAAGTGAAATTGTTTATTTCTTTCCCAGTCTTCTCTTTTCAAGCAACATCTGGATACTCTCTGGAAGGCTAGTAACTGGTGCAGACAGTTCGGATTGAATCATACACATGTATTACTCAATTTAATGGCAGTATAGGGGAATACTGCATTTCGAAGAGGGTGACAGAAGTGAGTGCTAAGCAAAAAGGGGCAACAGTGGGTGGGAAGAGATCACTCAAAAACATTTTTCTAAATCAAAAGAAAGGTTACACATCAATATTGTCCAGATGAATTCATGAAAACTGTTATGGTACAACTGTCCTTTTGTAAAGGATGTCTGTATTTTTTAGTCCGTAAAGCACAATTCTTGTAAAATGTACAAAGCACAGCATTTTAGGCTACAGCTCTGTTTGGTTTAACTGTCTCTTTTCATAACTTACTCTGTAGCTAGTTTACCCCCCTGCCTTGACAAAAATCAAGATTTTACTGTCCTTGGCACTTTATAGACACATAGTTATGAACTATGCATGCTCTGGAGATCTTGTAAACCAGATAACTGAGGAAAAACAAGCAGAGGGATGGTATATAGGATCACAGAAGAAAAATGACTTATCACTTACTCTTATTTGTATATCAGGGCATCTATGTAAAGGATTATAAATTACTCCAAATCTCCAGATTACTTAGGAAGCTCCTGTGCCACTAACAAACCCATTGGTTGCAAAATCTGTACGTAGAGCAGAAGCTGCTTGCTCAGCCCGTGCTATCTGGAATCATGCTCCAAGCATGTACCCAGGAACCGCTTTGGTTTCAGCTCTGACCGCCTCAGCTGATTCTTCTTGCAATTGGTATTTAATGCTTAATAGTTCTTTTATATTTATACAAGAGAGAAACATTTCCATTTGTTTGCATTTCAACAGTATTTCAATTTTAAGCTGTCTGGCAACTATGATCATCTACAGACTTCCAACTGTACTCAGCTTTTGGCAAAGAGGAGGAATGTCTGTGTGAGGGATAGGGCACATTAAATTAATCATTTGACACATTTAAGTGCAAGGATGCTTAGCTCTTCCCAGCACTAAACTCATTTTTTTTTTTAAGTTCCCATTTTTGTTGACATTAGCCCATTTCTTCAGGGAGAAGGTATGTGTTTCAGAGAGCAATGTTATGGCAGGGAATCCTCCCCGACTTCTGCTAGCCCCGAGCGCACAGGTGCAGCCTCCATAACCCAGCCCATGAATGAACAGCTGGAGAAAAATATTCCACAGTGAAGAAATGTGTCATTGCAGACTCATGTTGGCTTCCAGCTGCAGTGCATCACTGTCTTTGACTACATATCTAATGTCAGGGAGAAATGTGATTAAAATTCTAGCCTGGACACTGATACAAAGCATTTGCTCATAAGCATTCAGATATTCAGCCAGGGATTTATTTGCAAACATACATACATGCATGCAGGAAATGTTACCTCTGATGCTGGTTTACCTTTGATCATACAATTGGCATGATTTAGCATGATTTCAGCCATTTTCACAATCATGCCGCCCACATAACTGCCTGTCTCAAAGCAACAGTAAGAATATTGCTTGGCAGATGTGTATAAGTGGACAAGGAAAATGCTGAAAGTTCAGACAAGAATGATGCTAAACGTTAACGGAGCAATAGCTTCTCAACCAATTTGTTACTATAACTGTTCAATAAGAACTCAGTATAGAACTCTTTTTACTTTACCAATAAATTATTTTGTAATCATCTGTGATTCCCTGAACATCATCAATGCCTAAGAGTAGAGAAGAAAAGTAATATGAGAAAAAAATACTTATTTGACTAAATACTTCAACCAAGGCAACTTACTGTTTAAATAAACAAAACAATAAAATGAATAATAATTCTTTAATCCCTCCACCCCTCAAAAAGAAATGGCATAGAAAGGAGCAAAAAACCAGATTATGGAGTA